TTTTTTAATAAAAAATTTAGAAAATTCAGATTGGGATATTGAAGCTCCCACAGACTTGAGGGTTAAAAACTCCATTTTGTTTAATATATAGTATAGATATAGATAAATAGATTTTTCTCTTCTTTTTTTTTTTTTTCTTGAAAGGGGTGCCGGGCGATAGGGCACAATAGAGAGAATGGAGGGGAATGGAATTCTATTATTTATAATTTTATGTGGGACACATAACTTAGTTTGAATTGGCTTTTCATGATTTTAAAGTATTTTTTGATAATTTTTTTTAAGGGTATTCAGAGGGTATTTTAAAAAACGATCCAACTTGTCTCAAGTTGAGATTAAGACTAGACCTGTTCAGTTCGGTTCATGGGGTCAATTTTTTGGGCCCGTTTTGATAATCCGAACCGTCCAATGTGTAGAACTCGTCGAGTACTACATGCCTGTAAAAAATCAAGTTGATCGGATATCAATAGCTATGTGATCAAATCAGTTTTGTATAAGAAAAAATGGACGGTGAAACAATTAACGGTTGATAAAAAACTGTTTTGTTCACATAGCTATCAATATCCGATCAACGTTATTTTTTACAAGCATATAGTACTCAACGAGTTCTACACATTGAACAGTTCGGATTATCAAAATGGGACCTGTGATGGGCCCTCACGGGCCCAACAGCACGGTCCAGTCCGATCTTGGACTGGACCAAAGCCACTGCCTTTAAAAAATTATTACAAAAAATAAATTTTTTTATAATTTTAATTATTAAAATTTATAATATTTATCCCTTTTTTTTCTTTTTTCTTTTTTCTTTTTTTTTTTTTGTGAAACCCTCCAACATGTAATGGGCATTTTTGTTTTGTTTTGTTTTATTTATTTTTTTAATTAGTCAAGGTGCATGTATGTTGGTTTGGACATTCGGTTATTAAAAAAAAAAACAACAAAAAAACTGAATATATTGAACATCTTCATTTTAAGCCTTTTCATAATTTCACCTTTTCTTCAAAGATAAAAAATAAAATAAAAAAAGAAAAGTTGAAGAAGCAAGATTCATTCAATGATTCGAGCTATTAATTTTGTAGAATTTTTGTGTGCATATATTCATAAAAAGAATTAGATTAATTTGATAAAATAAAAAGGTTACAATTATTAAATCAACTTAATTTTTTTCATAAATAATATAAACGCAAAAACTTACAAAATTAATCAGTGTTTGATTTCAGTTTTTTGAAAACTGAGTTTTTTATTTTTCATATTTATTTTTTGTTTTTAGTGAATAGTTTTTAAATTTTAAGTAATTTTTTTACTTTTTTAGATGCACCTTATTTAGATAATATTTGTGAAAAAAATAATAAATATATAAAAATACAAAAATATATACTAAATTTTCATTTTTTTTTTGTGTTTTTGATATTTAGTGTATTTTTTAAACATTTTTTTCACAAATATTATACTTTTTAAGTATATTTATGTTAGGTGTGTCTAAAAAATTTAAAAAATTACTTAAAATATTAAAAAAATTCATTGAAAACATTACAATATGAAAAATAAAAAAATAAAATTTTCTGAAAATCAAAACCAAATAAGCCGAATGATTTGAATTATTAAAACAAGACAAGAGGTAAGAATACTCTCCCATTAAGATTTTAGACTAAAAACAAGATTAATTCTTTTTTAATATAATGAGTCTTACATGACAATTTTTATTTTATGAATATACACAGAAAATGAAATAAAAATATTAAAATAAATTTGATTTGTTTGGATGCACACCATGTTTGTTTTCAATTTTTTGAAAATACTTTTCAAAAAATTATACTTTCTTGTTTTCTTTATTTTTTTATTTTTACTGAATTTTTTTAATTTTAGACACACCTAACATAAATACACTTAAAAATATAATTTTCGTGATTTTTTTTTAAAATTCACTAAATATCAAAAATATTAAAAAAAATGAAAATTCAGTATATTTTTCATATCTTTGTATATTTATTAATTTTTAAAAATATATTTTCACAAATATTTTTACTTTTTAGATCACTACAACATTTTCTTAGTTTAGTGACATTTGAAAGTGCCACAAAACTATTCTTCTAATGACATTTTTTGGTCTTGTGGCATTTTGAACAAGTGTCACTTCTATCGGTGCCACGGTAGATACGAGTGCCACGGTAGATACTTGCAAGTGTCACTGCACCATCATGCCTAAAACTTTCAATGACATTTTAATGTCATGGTAGATATTATTTGTGACACTATCAAGCGCCATTAAAAAAAGAGTTAGTGACTCTTATAAGTGTCATTACACCATCAAGATTAAAATCTTTTAGTGACACTTTAATGTCATGGTAGGCACTATTCGTGACGCTATCAAGTGTCATTCGTGACGATAATTCGTTGTAGAACAATTTGATCCGCTCTTGCAGAGACTCGAACCGCCAACCTCCCGCATCATAAACCTTATACACCACACTCTAAAAGAAATTATTTATGGATGTGTAACATCTGAACTGTGGGTGGTTGTCATGTGCTTGTGCAGCATCTGATGTCAGCGAATAATTTTCGCGTTGTACATAGATAGAACCGTTGGAGAAGTTGAGTATTGTGGTAAGTTATTTTAATTTTTAATTATTTTTATTGATTAAAATTTTTGTGATCAAAAAAGTAATTGAAATTTTTTGTAGTTAGATGTGATAAAAGTGAAATGATTATGAATTTAATATAATATTTTATAATATTAATTATTTTAACTTATTTTTTTTATAAATTTTAACTCAAAAAAAATCAAAAAGTCTCGACCCAAATTAAAATTTTGAACATTTTAAAAAAGATTGAGCGCCAAGAACGGGTCTAGGGTTCTTCAAATTCAACACCAACTCTCTTCTTCATTGTGCTTCGTCTCACAATTCAAATGAATGCCCCAGAAAAAGGAGGAGAGAACTCTGGATTCTCCACAAGCCATCACTTGTTCTCAGGTACACAAATCATTTATTAATTCCATTTTAATTCTTGTAATTGCTTTATTATTTGTATCGATTTTGGATAGATTTGAGCCGTTATATACATTTTAGAAAGTTTTGGGGTCGATTATAAGTTGTGGTTTGTTAGTTTGGTCGGTGTGTTTGATGACCTGAGATTTGTGGTTGCAAATGCCATGCCAGACGAGGGCTTTGGTAGAGCTCAAGTTCTGATTATTTGATGGAACCGATATTGATCCGTTTTGGTACTCCACGGCTTAAACAGGGCTGGGATTCGAAAGGATATCTAATAGCTAGGTAGTATTTAGTTTATTGGAATAAAATAAAATGAGATGATTATTCCACACGATATTTATTCTTATGTCTGAGACGATATTTATTCTTATGTCTGATTGATTAAAAAAATAATAAAAAATACATTGTAAATGAAATTATAATTTATTATTATAAGAAAATAATCATTTCATAAGAGAGTCTAAGGAATGACCATTCAATTGATTCTATCTCATTCGAATAAACTAAATAAAGCATTAGATTAGTCAAGATACACGTAAATTGGTTTGAATACTCAGTCATAATAATAAAAAAAAATTAAAAAAAGAAGCATTAGAGATATAGAATGGGATGATATAATATGTTTAAGATATGAGATGCAATATATATTATATGTGTGCTGTAAGTCATTTTTATTAGTTTGATTATGATATGATATAACATGAGATGAGAGTAAAGTGATTATTTTTTACTGTTAGATGAAGATGGTAGAGATATGCAATTAATATCATGGGAGTGGTGTCCGGATTCCTATATTTGAAGAAACAAAAACACATATAGACCTGACCTCGTATTATATCCAACCACCATTTGGTATCCCTATTATAACCTCAAAGAAACAGCCCGTAAGAATATTTTGCTGTTTGGTTTGGGTGCTATGTATGTTTCTCTGTGTGTTTTCTGTCCCACAATAAAAGATATTTTATTTCCACAAAAAAAGAAAAAAAAAAAAAGAAAATCCAAGAATTTCTGAAAACAAACCCCCCCCCCCCCCAAAAAAAAAAAAAACAAAAAGTGCGTAGGAGCTATACAACACAAAATTCTATACACTTTCTATGTCAATTTTTTTTTATATTTGTACCATTATTGTTTTGTAAATACAGAATAGACATAAAAAGAAATTACGTAGATGTGTAATATTAAAATTACTAAATCAAGTATAATCTGATCCCGCTCCAGAAATTACGTAGATGTGAAATATTAAAATTACTAAACCAGGTATAATTTGATCCCGCTCCAGAATTATGACTATTTTAGCTTTATATTGACATTTTTTACAAGATTTTGTATAAAGCTTATATTGAGTTGAGTTAAACTTAACCAAAGTTTGCGAGTAAATGGAGTTTGAAATCAATCACCCTATGAAAAAACTTAATGGAATATTGGCTAAATTTTCTTGCATCTCATTAGAACATTGAGGGTTTAATTCTCCTCAACTGTTTGTGAATTTTTTCTCTTTATATTTCTTTGACGGTTATGGCAATGTCTTCTTAGATTTTTCTTACTTGGTTAAATGTCCGATCTCATTGAAGTCTCATAAATTTTGTAAATTATCTCCTCCCAGTTGATCAAGAAATAAAAAAATCTATTACCCCACTCATCCACTCAATAGTGAGGAAGTGTTTGGTTGACCTCAGACAATACCTTCTCTGTCCTTGAGAGTTGGTTGCAGCTTAGCTTACATTGATAATGCTCACCATTATTAATAATAAGTTCTAGAAGGCTATAGTCCAGTAGTTTGGACACCTTTAGACGGGGAATCCATTGTGCTGATCCTGTATCCAATAAAAAATATTATCAATTTAGTCCAAATCTAATCATACATGAAATTAATTATTTAATATTGACCTAATCATCCTAACAACACTTTCTGCAAAAGAAATAGAATTCCATCCCTTTCATTTCCCTTTTTTGTATTGGCCTTTCTCTAAATTTTGCAAGGGTTTCCTGATTAGACAAAAAACAATATCCCTTTCATAAACAAAAGCCGAAAATTAAATAAATTAAAAGCCACATACAGGTAAGAATATATATATATATATATATATAGATAAGCTAGCATCGCCATGCAGAAGCAGCAAGGATAGCTCTATCTTGCCACCCCAAGAGCAAGCTATCCTTGTCCTCTGTCAACCTGTACCCATCACATGAATACAAACCTAATAATATTTTCGACTGAGTCACCGCGTTTGCACTCAGTGGCACACCCTTAAACCCTTTACCTTCCATTATCTTCCTCCACTTCTCCAACCTCTCATGTCTCATCACCCTTTCCGGCCCCTCACACGCCACGATGTTCCTTATCTCCGGTGCAAATATGTACTGCTCTACCTTTGCCCTCTGTGCCGAGTCTGGTGGAAAAGTAGCATCTAACGAGTCAAAAATCGCTGAATAATAATGCAATGCCTCAAGGAATCGGCCTAAGAAGTAAGGTCCATTATGGCTTGCTTCTTGCTCAACAATGGTTACTATGTTCGGTGCTTGGTCACGAATCATTGCCAGCAAGTTCCCAAGACAGTTGCCAGGAGGAAGACGGTGGAGGCAGTTAACAGAATTAACCGCCAAAGCCTCGCCTACCCGTCTGTTGAACATATGTGGTTTTAGGTCTTCGAGTTGTTCACCAACTGGGTGGAACTCAAAGGGGACATGGAGAGAGTGGGCTAGCTCGGTTAGACATCTGCCGGTCTCCCTCACAGTCTCGGGGGAGGGGCCCACTCCGGTTATTCGGAGAAAAGGAGCCCCACCGGGTCGGGCAGCTAGGGCTTGCATGAAAGCAGGCCATTGGTAACCTTGAAGGATGTCAAGGTCGATGACGTGAACACGCTCTTCAGCTTCAAAGGCCTCGAAGATTGCTTGATTAGCGGTGAAATGAGCAAATTTAATGTAGGGGCAGGCTTGGTAAAGAATTTGGTAGATCTTGAGGATTTCTAGTGAGTTTGGAGGAAAAGGAGTGAAGGGTTTTGAGATGGAGGGGCTAGGTTTTGTTGCTAGGGTTGCAGCAAGTCTTGCGCTTAGGGCCTCAGTGAAGCAAGAAGCGACTCGTTGCATGGAGTCACCGAGGGGCGTCACCACGCGATTGAGGTGGTGGAGGTATCTCCTCCCTAACATGTAGTCCTCTTTTGCAACTGCTTCAGCACAAGCAAGAAGGTGGTGCACCAGTTGAAGCCCGCTATCTTGCTCCTGTCGATAAAAATACGAAAAATGTTATACAAATTAATAAATTTGATAAACTTTCTTTTACTAATAGATGCCACACATCCAAGGATGAAACTTAGGACTTTGAAGCATGATTTACTCGAATAATATGATACAGCCAATTATTTGTAAAAGATGTTGCTTTCATTGAGTATCCAATTATGAATGCAAGGGACTACCATGGTTCTAAATAACAATGAAAGGGACTACCATGGTTCTAAATAATGGTATGTGATAGATATTAATATTAGTGATATTGTCGTATATATCGGTCAATATTAGACAATATAAGCTAATATCTTGATGAATAATGGTATGGGAAGTCTAAAATTCTGATACATAACAATCTATACATACATAACGATCTATACGATACGTAACTGCAGATATTTAAAACCTGAAACTACCATGAGAGAAATAGAGAGAGAGAGAAGAAGAAGAAATGGACATTTACCTCAGGCCCAATAGGAGGAGCCACCAACATGCTATGGTTAATGTTCTGTGGTGGTTGTGATTGCTGTTGTTGCTTCTCTTGCTGTCTTTCCTCTTGCAGTTGTTGCGATAATGGTGCAGTCGAAACAGAACCAACTTGCTGATAAATTTCAGATTCTTGGGTCAGTTGTGAACCTCCCAGAACTGAGGTTTCGCTCATTGATCCGCAAAACCTTGAAGAATTTGGCATTGCCAAGCAATCCAACAACGCCGGTACTGTTGTCACTGCATCAAACGCAATCAAATCATCGTCTCTTTCAAAATCATCCAAGAAGCTCTCGAGACCCGGCAGCGAAAGGCTTTCCAGCTGCATATATTGATTATTGGGAGAGTTGAACACTCTATGAAGAGGGCTCTGTCCCTTCCCTTTTTGGGTACTGCTAAAAGCTGCTCCTAGCAGAGATGAAGATCGTGGAGGGGAGCATCCCAAGAGGCTTTGACCGTGCATGGACTGGACATAGTTGTAATTGTAGTTATGATTTGAAGCTTGCGTTGAAGATATGTTCCTCACCGGCGATGATATCATGAAATCTCCATCCAATTGATCAGAGAAAAAAGACTCCCATACTGCACTATCGGGGGATTGGACTTCGATATCACCGTCTACTTCGAATTTGAGTGCTGGCAAGCTCAGACTCGATGGTGTTAAGCAACTATTCTGGTCATAATCGATGGATGAGGGAGGAGTTATCTTCTTGGAATCCGCCACTGATTCGTTTGGAGAAGTTGGTGGCATTTTGGTGCATGAGTTCTCTGTCTTTAAACTCCCCACCTCACTCTTCAAACTCCCCATGCTTCCACAGAGGGTATTTATCATCTTACTTTGTTTCTCTTTATTGTCTATTCTAAGCTCTCTAAAAGAGAAAAAAGAAAATGTTGCAATTCTCTCACATGAGACTTCTTTTTTTTTTTAAAAGGGTACCTAAAGTTGATATAGTTGTGCCTTGTCTCTCCTTTTATCTTTAAAAAGAATAGGAAAGCAAAGAGAAGATTTTTTTTGGCCTTGTGTTAGAAAGAGAGAAATTTGGAGACAAAGAAGGGGTCTATTTTAAAGAGCTTTGGAGGTTACTGATTAAATGACCTCCATTTTATCACCTCTAAAAAAGTCTAACTAAGTTTGTTGAGTTGTTTTCTAGAGAGCATGAACTTTGTCATCTTTGGGCGAGTGCTTCAACTGTATCCGCTATATACTTAAGGAGGGAGGCCTGTGTTGGATTGCACTAGAAGACAAATTTAGTGGGTTGGGTCCCACTTACATTGGGCCGGCCCAGCTGAGAACAAGAGAATTTGGAATAAATAGACTTTTTCTTGTTGTATAATATTTATCTATCTATGATAATATTATATGTTTGTTTACACAGCGTCCGGATCCTCTAGAGTGAAAACCCTCAAGTGATCTCTGGAGTGATTCATCCAACGGTGGAAATTAAATCTCACCAAAACGACGTCGTTTTGGTGAGTAATTTGAAAAAAAAAAAAAAAAAAAAAAAAGAGAGAGAGGAAGAAGAAGAAGCCAGCCATTGTTCCACTGCTGATCTCTGCTTTGTTAGTGGTTGTTTCTCGTTTCTCTTCCTCCTCCTCCGCCTCCGCCTCCGCCGTTGCCTAGTGCGAAGAAGCCAGCCATTGTTCCCCTTTAAATCTGTCCCAAACCTTAGTTGTGACTGACAATCCATAGCAGAAACCAAACTACTACCTAGATTCCAACCCAGTGGTGAAATGGGTGTTCTTCAATTTTGATTTTTTTTTTTAATTCTCTCTCTCTCTCTCTGAAGAGATTGCTAATTGTTGATGATGGTGGTAGGGATTATTGCAGCTTTTTCTCGGAGATTTGAAACTCAGATTGAACCCAGATTGCTAATTCTCTCTCTCTCTCTGACATCAAACCCAGATTTGCAAAATTGAAATCCAATCCACAGAAAAATGAAAAGCTTGGTGGCAAACTCTTGGTTTCCTTCCTCCTCCTCCTCCTCCTCCCTCTCTCACTTACAGTTTCGTTCTGAAACTGAAATTGAAATTGAAGGAATATTTTTTTTTTTTGAATTTCATTAAGAGGAATTGATCTCAGCCCTTGGTTACTCAAGTGGGACAGGTGTCACACCACATTGAACCACTCTAGAGATCACTTCAGGAAAAAAAATTGTAGAGGATCCGGACGCGTTTACACAAGGGTTTCTTCGGCAACTGGGATTATTGATTGGTCTAGGAGCCTGATAGCGAGGGACCACCCGGTAACAAAATACTTAAATTGCAAATTGATTTTAAGGGCCTAATAAACATCTTAATTCTGAAACAAGGATTTAATTATACATAATTATAGAAACGAATAAATTTTAGTGACCCTACGAATAAAACTCACCGCTCTACTATGGTCTAAGCCAGATTTTGTGAAAATTTTGCTGTTTGGGCCTCCAAAATTAGTCATTTTGCCATTTGTGAATATTTTTGTTTTACTAGTAATTTTGTATATGAATATTTATTTTTAATGTCACTTATTTAGGCATGTTTCTAAGACTTAATACAATTCAAATTTGGACTTAACTCAAATTAAACAATTTTGATAAAAAAAAAAATTAAAATTTTTGTGTTTATAATTAACATATTTATTTATTTTCTATTCAAATTTGGTATTCTCTTGTTATAAATAAGAAGATAAGTCTTACTGCCAAGAAACCTTTCATCAATAAATATAAGGGTAAATTAAAAATACACCCATTGAGGTTTTTTAAATACGAATTGTTCCTTATAGTTTTGGAAATTACATTTCACCATTTGAAGTTTCTAATTTTATGACAATTGACTTATTTTATTAATAAATCATCAAGGTAATTAATAATTTTTAATGATATTAAAAATATATTTCAATTTATAATTCAAGTAATTTTATTATTATTTAGGAGAGTAGTTAGAAATTTTATTTTTTAATCAACAAGTGAGTATTTGTAATTTTTCAAAATACAGAGAGTAGTTCGTATTTTAAGCAAAGTTTATAGGTGTATTTTGTAATTTACCCATAATATAAAGTAGGCAAATTGTCAAGTAAATATAAACTTGAGGTCCACATACTAAAATGCATATAATGAGAGGGTCATTATGCAAGTTGATAGAATGGAGAAAACTGGGGGGGGCGGGGGGGGGGGGATGGGGTTTTGGGTATGATAGGAAAAGAAATGGGGAGAGGAAAAAGATAATAGAAGAAGACAAAGAAGAGAGAGAGAGAAAGGAAGGTGAGAAGGTACGAGAGGGTTGGGAAGGAGGTGGAGACAAAATCTGGGCATTGGCAAAGTCGTCGGTTGTGGCGTCGGTGGCGCCGCCTACGCCTTGGATTTGCCACAGGAATGAAGCTCTTGTCCTCCCTTCAACCTTTTCCTATTAGTCGGCATCTCTAATTTCTCTCTCTCTCTCTCTCTCCACACTCTCTTTCTCTCCCCGATAATGCTTGAGACCACTAAAAGTGGTGGTGCTTTTACCATCACTTTTAGTGGTCTCAAGCATTATTGTAATAATAATTAAAAGTTAGTTTTAACTTATTTATCACATTATTTCTTATATGAAATAGTAAAAAAATCAAAAAATTCAAAAATTAAATTTTAACAATATTTTCAAAACACTCCCATAATAACTAACCATTTGACTCCTCCAAAATACTAGTTCTTCGAGTCATTCCAATTCAAATCAGTCCTTTGTGAAAGGAAAAAATGAGCCCGAAAAAATATCAAAAAATGGATGGGTTTAGTTTGTACTTTGAGATAAATTTTAAAAAAAAAATATTAGGGAGAGTTTAAATTATTATTTTTAGTTTATTTTGTTGTATATTTTGAAAATGGTTTTAGAGTTTGAAAATTTGAGATGATTTGATATTTTATTATAATTGAGTAGATGTTTATAAGAGAAAAAGTAATTGAGAAATGAGAAATGAGAGAAAAAAAAGTGGTTTAATTGATATGTAAGAGAGAGAAAGTGATTTTAAATTTTTTTTTCAAAAAATTTGAATCAAACAAAATTTTAAAATTTTTTTCTTAAAAATTAAATCTTGATAAACAAACCAAACAAAACCAAAATATAGGACTAGATCATACTTAAAATGAGGATGTTCCCCCCATTTGATTTTTTGACAATTTTTTATAATATATGTAGCGTTGCTATTAGCTAAAAGAAAGAATAATGATATGTGGACATAAATTAAAAAAAAATACAAAAAAATAAAGATATAGAATAAGGGAAAAGTTATGATATGCAACTCTAAAAAGGGACATATCGGAAAAAAAAAAAAATTATAATTTTTTTATAGTGAAAATAATGAATATTTGTAGTGTTATGCCAATTTATGGTAAACATTACAAGGCCTTCATTTGGAAAGAATTAATTTAGCTCGATTTTTTGGCTTAATCTGGTTAAATTAAACAGTAGTGATTTAGACTTTCTCAAACTTCAACCCCCACCCCCCACACACGTAGCGGGTGGTGATTGGAAGAGAAGAAAAAAAAGAAAAGGAAAAAATGACCAATCAAAAAAGATAGGGGGTCAAAGGGGGTGGGGAGAAAGGGGGTCCCAATCTTTATTCTAAATTAAATTCGTTTGAAAAAAAAAAAACTTTTATCTTTTTTTTTTATTTGAATGTAATAGTTGTAAAAAAAAAAAATTATGATTTGAATGTGACATTTTATTTTATTAACTAAATTAGTTTATTTTATTTTTTTATATTTATTTAGGCATTTTAACTCTTTCCAAACAAACTCAAAGAGTAAAGTAAAAGTTACACTTTTTTAGGTGAGCAAAAAATTATACTTTTATGATGAAAATAAATTGTCATATTACAATTTACCTTACAAAATTTTATAGTACTGTTATTTAGGACATATTGTATACTTCCTTTTCATGGATACACAAAGTAACATCTGTCACAAAATAATATGATACGGTCATATTTATTGATTTTAAACCAAAATATTTATTAAAATGACTAATTATTTTAAAATATCACTGTCACGAATTCTCATAGATTTTGTATATAAAATTTATCAATGGTGCGATACGTACTAATTGATACACCAATTATTATACCAATATAGATTATGATATTACTATTTCAAAACTATGGATTACATTTTTATACATACTATAAAATTCAAAACTTTTAAAATTATATCATATCATTAATTAGTATATTGATTAAAAAACAAATTAGTGCGTATAATTTTATTCAAAATCTATATTTGCAAATCATTTATTGTATTTATTTATTAATTATTTCCTTCCAACATCAAACTATTCTGTTTTTTTGTCGCAAAGCAAAATGTGGTTGTAATTATAGAGTAATGTTAAAAATCTTATTAAAATTTTTATTAAATGTCTCACATGAGTGTGTGATCTATATCATGTAGATCTTATGTGAATCTCACATTCATATGAGATATTTAATAAAAATTTTAATAATTTTTTTAAAATTTCAAACATTTTTAGTAATTATATACATATAAAATTCCTTGTCGTGAAAAAGTAAGTTCATGCAATTTTTACACGAGCATGGGTAGCTCGTACGATAGGGAAAAAGACCATCAATTATACTCCCTCCGTCCCAAAATAATGGTTCCTTTTGGGGAATCCAACTTTTTTTGATAGTACAATTATTGTACTTTTAAAAAGTTGATTTTCCAAAATTACCCTTTGATAGTACACCTTTTTGGGAATACCAATGTTATAATTGTACTTTTTATATTATTTATGAATTTAAAAGAAGGACAAAATGGGAAATTTATATTATTTTTGTACTTGATTTTTGAAGAGGGACTAATATTTTAGGACAATGAAAAATTTTTTTTGATGTGCTGTCAAAACCGTCCACTCTAGAACAAGTCATTCGCGCTTGGGAAAGATGCATAACAAATCCGTTGAGTGGCCGAACATGGTTTGGTCCTGATTTGGGGGGATTGTTGTTGTTAGTGCGCCCCACCTTATACGTAAGCCCCACCTTATACGTAAGAGAAATGTTAGAGATTATAAAAATTTTATCATGAAAATGATCATGAAAATTTTGTGAATCTTAGATTACCTTGATTAGTGTGTGGTGCTTTATTGTAAGTGTAATTCAAAAGTCACAAATCTTTTATGACTATTTTCATGAAAGACTTTTCATGATACCTAGCATTGCTGTATACGTAATTATCTTATTTAAATAAGACAAGTTATACTTATGATCTCTATAGTTTGAGGTTGATATTATTTTGATTCTTAATTTTTTAATTATGATACATTTAATTTTAAATTTTAAATATTATTTAAAATAAGAATAATTAAAAATATCATTATTTAATTTTAAGAGTAAAGTCGTCAATTTGATAAAATATATATTAGTTTGAAAAAAATATATGTCAAAAAAATATTTTTTAATTTTAAAAAATTATTTTTACTCATCAAAGATAAAATTATATAAAATTGATAAATCTTGTCTACATTTTTTTTTTACCAAATTAATTTTGGTTATGTGTTTAGATAATGATTATGTAATGAGCGATTGTTTTTATTTTCATTGAATTAGTTTTTATTTTTTCGAAAGTCAAATATAACGACAACTTTGATATCATTATTAAACTAATCCATTAAATAAAAAAATCTAAAACTAACAACATTTCATATATTAAATGTATCGATTACATATTAAAAGCCTAACACCACCTATTATATGATCATCATCCAAAGACATAATAAAAATTAATTTGATAAAAAAAATAAATAAATAAATATGTAAAAGATTTATCAACTTTACATAATTTTATCTTTGGAAGGCACAAATAATTTTTAAAAATTCAAAAATATTTTTTTGACATTTATTTTTGTCAAATTAGTTTATATTTTATCAAATTGACGACTTTGCCCTTAAAATTGAGTAATGGTATCTTTAATTGTCTTTATTTAAAATAAGATTCAAAATTTAAGATCAAATATATTACAATTAAAAAGTCTAGAACTAAAATAACACAAGTTCCAAACTATAGGAATTGTTTGCTTCATTTGCCCATTTAAACAAGAAAGGTTAGAGATTTGTAATTTTATATTCACAAATGCACACTAACAACAAATGAAAATTTTACATTTATCCTACCATGTCAATGTGTATAGAATTACGGGAGTCTTTTTTAAGAGTTTCAAGTATTTTCCTATCTAAATTATGGGAAAAAAAAGATAAATTAATTACATAAGCATATACAATTGACATGACATACACATAAGATATAGATCAAACTTATTAAATAACTTATGTCAAAAATCAAATTCTCTTGTGTGAATTCAAATTTTTCTATAGTGATCTTATAGTAATTTTTTATATGATTAAGATATATGTTTTTTAAAGTGATAATCAATATTATTATTCCATAAATTTTTGTAAAATTAAATTTTAATTACATAAAAAAATCATTCAAGATCCCACAGCATAGACCAAGTATCCAGAGCAATTCTTGGTAGCCCGAAAAGGAGGTTGGCTCAAATGGCTCAAAATTCATCTTGCCGGTCGTCCGGATGAACGTCCGGCCGGTCGTTCGGGCAAACATTTGGCCAACACCTATTCGGGCCATTTGAGCCCCTCTTTTTCGGGCTACCAAGCATTTTTGAAGTATCCGAGCCTGGTAGGGGCATCTTGTGTTGTGGGGGGTAGGTTTGGGAGCCCTGCTTATAGATTGGGCTAAAGGTTAATTTTTTGGGCTTATGGGACCGTGAATGTGCAATTTATAAGTTAAGCCCGTTTGTAATTGTAGGCTTATTAGTTAAAAAAAAAAAAAGATGCTTGAAGTCCGGACTAAATCTGACCCGGTCCAAGCTCACCCTTCGTGGTATTCAAGTTCTTCCAACGTGGCGGTGGCAACTGACCCACCCAAAAGTTCCTGGTTAGAAATTTCATGGTATTCAAGTTCTTTCAACGAGGGGGTGGCAACTGACCCACCCAAAATTTCCTGGTTAGAAATTTCAAGGATGATCTTTCAGCCTTTTTCTTACTTAGATATTGATATGCAAACAGAAATTTTGTATATAGAAAGATGTGGGGAGCTTCTATTTTAACACAAATACTATATGTTATTGATCTTAAGTGCTTGGCCAAGTGGTAGTAAAAACTTAAAAATAAAATTTAATATCTCGAATTTGAGTCACTTAAGGAATTATTTTGTCCGGTCATTAATTTCAGAATTATAAGATTAGTCGAGGAGTGTGCAAGTTAATCCATATATCCAGTTTTAATATTTTTTATCAATTGACAATTATTATGTTGTCTTTTAAAAATGTCAACATCCTATTATTTAGATTTATATATATATATATATATATAATCCGAATAATTTATCTATTGGCAACCATTTGGATTCATTGACGTGAAAACGTGATCGCATTTAATGGTTTTATCGGGCAAATGTGAGAAAAGCTTTTTCCACATAAATTCATTCAGCTCATCCATATTGCTCTTGGCTGCTAACTGCTAAATTCTAAATGGGGACACAACACAGGCATGAAATGACTACATTTATACAAAGCAGATAAAAGGTTGGCCTACCCTTGGGTCTTCTCCTATCAACACCACATACTATAATATAACAGTGGAACACATTATGCATGCGTGTTCATTTACAATATTATATATAATAGTAATGACATCGTCACATGATATTATCAATCAATGAATAACTTTAAATAAAATCAATTGAGAATCATTTTGTTGGTTAAGTGGGAGACAATGTCAGTCCTATCCCATCCATTTAGTTAGAATCATATTGACTCGGTGGATGTAAAACCAATGTCACTGTTGCACCCAATTTTTGTGTGAACCGATTTTCATTCTTCCCAAACAGGCCCCAGGCCTCCAAATGAAACACCATAAATATGCCAAGAGCAGCTGGTCTTTCTACTACACATCCACTCCACTATCTTCCACAGAGCATTCACAGGTCTTTGTTTGTTTGTGGATAGGAAAAGTCCATCAACTCTTTTCCAACAGTTGGTTGTCCTTCCACCTGGCACTCATTGTCCACACCCCCACACACAGTTTTTTTAATTGCACAATAATGTTCATAGAGAACTAGCTATTGGCTCACAAGATCAGAGGAACAATTAGTTCTCTCTCTCTCTCTCTCCCCCTGATTACTTTTCATGGATCCAAAAATTCTCTTTATACTCTCATCCTTTTTATCTCTGTCACTACCTTCAGAAGTTGAAGCAGCAGCAATAGCAAACTCCCAAATCACTGTCATGGGTATTGTTTACTGTGACATTTGCTCCAACAACACCTTCTCCAGGCACAGCTACTTCATGCCAGGTTCTAAAATTAAAATACCCATTTCTACTTTCAAGTCCTTTTTGGTCTGGTTTTTTCATGTATTCCATTGTATTACCAGGTGTGGAAGTTAGAATAGATTGCACATTCAAAGCAGTTTCTCCGAAAACTACAGAACAGATTTCATTATCAGTCAACAGAACTACAGACAAGAATGGAGTGTACAAGTTGGCAATACCATCCGTTGATGGAATTGAATGTGCAAGAGAGAAAGCAATGGAGTCTTCATGCAGGGCAAGCTTGATGTGGAGCTCATCTTCTTCATGCAATGTTCCTGGATACAGAACGACATCCGATGAGATAGCAGTGAAATCAAGACAAGCAAATCTCTGCATTTACTGTCTAAATGCATTGAATTATAGACCATCTAGGATAGATATTACCTTATGTCAAAATTAGGAAAGTGTGTACTTGTCAACTTCTTTCCATATTTGCGCCTAGTATTCCCTTGCATTTCCATCCTTAATGGGCTAGTATTGAATTAGGATCCTCTACTTGCACTCTCTCCTTATCTCTCTACTAGCTATTGTATAAGATGATCCAACGATTCAGATTGGCTATTTTAAAAATAAAAATAAAAAAATTTGTATTTAATTTTATTTTTTTTAAAAAAATAGGTAAATCTGGACTATTAGATCATCCTAGAGTGCATCTCCACCTTTACAAGTAGAAAGGCAATGATAGATTGCCAGTAGAAGATCTGGACTCGCTAGTACCTAGTATATCTCACAAAAAATTTAATGTATGTACGGCTTAGGTCTATGAACATGTGTATCCCTATTTGTCATTTTGTTACAATATATGCAAATTATGCATGCATTATCCAGAAAATATTATGAAGGGAAGGGAGTGGATTGATAATTATTGTAATTCTTCAAGTAGCACATGGTTGCATGCACAGTTTTTTCTTCTTTCTTTTTTTCAGTGGCCTTGTTTGGCATGCCAGTGTTTTAATCAAAATGTCAAAAAATTAGTAAAAAAATCAAAAAATGTATAACTTATACCAAAAGTCAAATATTTATTTTTCTCTCTATTTTTTGCACATCTTTTCGTAAAAAATTAAAAAGTTATTTCAAACATTCTAGTTTTTTTACCTCATATTTTAACCAAAAAGTCAATGAAGAGATAATTTATTAATCAATTTATGAATTTTTTTTTTTTTCCCTTATTTACTAGTGAAGAGACAAAAATTTATAATTGACAGCACAATTTATGGTAAAGAAGAGGAATGCTAGGCTATGTACCAACATAGAAGTACTCTACATCACAAAAGCAAAGCAGAACAATTAAGGCAGAATAGGGAGACAAACGAAAGAATAAGGGGACACCTCTCCAGTCTCCTATGGGAGTAGACCAGGTCTAGGCCAGTGGAATTCATTTTGATGTTTCGAATTCTTTATTTTATAAATTTTTTGTATATATAATATTATTGAAAAATTTAAATCAATTCAATAATTAGGACAATATGATTTTGTACTACTTGTTTGCTAAAAATAGATTAATTTTAATTTTTGAATGAATGATTTAGATGATGAACAACTCAATCAATATTGAACTACATATCTTCAAAAAAAAAAAAATTACAGGAGCAATGAATGCTTTTTTTTTTTTTTTTTTTTTGTTTAGACAGCCATAGAAAATTTTGAGTGGTTGACTGACAAGTCAATATTGTTAGAGATACCAGGGCCCCGCACCATCTCTTCTGGTTCTCTGTCCCCAACACCTCAACAGGATCTGGATTCTCTGTCATTTTTACAGTTTTACTTTTATGCACCAATGATTTAAGTTTTTCACTTCTGAAAATCTATGGGTTTATTTTTTTAATAAAGGTTTTGTGATTGGTTTTGGTATTTTAAGATGATTTGAGGATTGAGTTGAGATGGACCTGGTCAATACCAAGGACTTGATCGATCTAAGGGAACACAAACTGTGAACCACCATTTTCATCATCAAATTAACAACACAAAGACAAAAATAATAATATTAGAGAGAGATGGAAAAGCAAGGAGGTAAGTGGGTTGTGCTGGTTGGTAACCTTCCCATTCCAAGGTCACATAGCACCAATGCTTGAACTCAGCGGCACCATTCTTCACTCAAAGGGCTTCTCCATCATAGTAGACTAGCCCACCCCAAATTTATCTCTCTCAATTCTACCAACCACCACCCCAACTTCATTATCCGATTCCCCCGGTGGGAAATCTTCCAAGGCGATGATTTGGAGTCACTGTGGTTGGAATTCTTCAAAGAGGTTGGGTTGTGAAATGGGCTCTTCAGGAGGTTCTAGAGCATAAATAAGGCAGTGTTGGGGTTTTTTTTTGGAGTCACTGTGGTTGGAATTCAACTCTGAAAGTGTTTGTGAAGGAGTTCCAATGATATGTTGGCCGTGTTTTGGAGACAAGAAGGTGAATGCTAGGTGCTTGAGGGGAAATAGAGAGGGCTGTGAGAAGATTTATGGTGGACAGAGAAGAGGCAGAAATTAGGCGAAGAGCTATCGATTTCAAGGAAAAGGTAGAGCTTTCAATGAGGAATGGTGGTTCTTCCTGCAATTCCTTGAATGCCTTGGTAGAACTCATCCTGTCATTTTGAGCATTCTAGGCGCGCAGTGAAAGCAGAAACTTAAGGATCTGGATTGTATCTATCTAAAGATGATTGATCATCCTATGTATTAGATGGGTTTTTAGACCAAATAATTCTTTGTGTGTTTATGTTTGTGTACTGCCATGTTTAATTTCCTTTTTCAAAACTTCAACATGGTTTTGGAATTAGGAGTAATCGATCTTAGCAGTGTGATTTCAATCACAATGAATTCTGTCTAAAAATTCCTCAACTCTCCATGGCGTGCAGGTCATTTTAGGTTCAGTCACATTTTCATTTGTTAGGCAATGCCAAATCATAGATTTTCTTCAATTTCTCGAAAAGAAAAAGAAAAAGAAAAATAAAATAAAAATACAAAATCCAAGACAAAGGAACCCTACTTCAAAAGATCATATATAGCATATACATGGCTGTTGTAGGAGTTCTAATATTTAGTTACTTTATTTCTCTTTGATATCTCCAATCTCTATATCTCTACCAGTTCTTGGAATATCTTCATGGCAGAAGCAGGCAAACCGAGAAGTACATTGATGTTTTTCCTGGCAATTCCATGAGATAAGAACAATATGACTTCCTTCTCCGGTAAAGCAACGGGTCCAGATAGGATAGGCTCTCCCCATCCAAAATCTGTAGTGTGGAAACCTAACCTAGACCAAGTCGTGATCAGAAGGGAAGAAGCCAGAGAAGGCCTAGCTCTTGTTACTTCAAAATAATCCATGGCCGATCTCATGTAACTGTCGGTTGCAATCTTAATTGCCTTCTGAATTAGCCCCGCAGCATATGATAGTGGATTCTCTAGTAGTTCACCTGCTTGGCATAAGGAATTTGTTAACACAATACCATTGCCAAAGTAGCCTTTTGGTAGTGGTGGGCTGAATTTGGATCTTCCATCGACAGCGAATAGGAGTTTTGTCTGTTGATTGGGCAACAACTTCAGTGATTGAGTTCGAGCTCTCCATACAAGAGCCGAGAGAGCTTCAAAAGTAGTGCATTTTTCAAGAATCCCGTCTTCCAGGACTTTTTTCTTGAGCTTTTCAAGCTTCTCGGAATCGAAACAGAACGACCTGTAAAGCATTTCATCTTTGTAAAGCTCACCGGTGCTTGACAAGTCTTCAATCTCTGCAAATTCATGGTGCTGATACTCTATTTTGGGTGGGTTCCGAGCTTTGAGTATGCTTCTGTCAAGGAACGGAGGGACACTTAGTGGCAAGCCTCTGGCTGTTTCGCCCCATGAGTTCACAAATTCCATGGCACCAATCCCATCAAACATGCAATGGTTCATGCACAACCCTAGAACAAATCCTCCACATTTGAACATGGTCACCTGCAACATATATAGATAAAGAACTTTTGATACCCTTTCAGACTTCCCATATTAAATTCATGCTCTGGGAAGAAAAAAAGAAAATATTTACTACTATATTGTTTGAACTTTTCTGGGATAGTCCTTTGTCTTTACTTACAATAGCTGACAAATAATAATTGTGATTGATTAACACTAGGAACATAGAACTGGACACAGAATGGACACAGGTACTCACAAGTGTGCCCATGTCCGATTATGTGTCTAGTTTCTGTATGCATAGTGTTGTTCACTGTGATTAGTAGATAATTTACGTCAAGTAAAAGATATTTAATATAGCAGATGACTCACAGTCTAGAAAGGGGGGGGGGGGGTGAAGTTATGTATTTGAGAAATTTAGAAACCTGAGCCGCCAGAGGAGGCATCTCTAGTATGTTCTTTGCACCCGGAATCTCATAAACCAGCTTTCCAAGAGTCACAGGATCAGGTTTTGTTATGTCTCCAATCTCTTCAATTTTGCAGTCTGCCTCGGCCTCAACAAAAACAGCACCCTCTTCGGTGCAATCCACCACGAGCTTTCCCTCCGGACTAATCGTTAGTCGCCCAGCAAGTGGATAGTAGTGAACAAGAACCTTCTCTAAGGCTTCTCTGATGACTTTCCCGGGCTTCTCATTCCCTTTCTCTTCTGACTTGAAGCAGTATATAGTACGAACTATTACAGCTATGTTCTGATCAAGGTTTGATAGGAAGTACAGACCCTTCTTTGTCTCCTCTGCGGGAGGAACCAACGTAGGCTGTCCTTGCTTCACATTAAGCTCAAACACATTCCCATTAGACTTGTCCATTGAGACAGACTTCTCAAACTCCACAAACAAAACCACAATGCAAGAAAACAAACAATAAAGTGGAGAAAGAAACTTTGTGATGCAAAAGAAAATGACTAAAGTGCTTCTAATAGTACATAGAACTTAAGAAAACTAGGCCAGAGATAGTGGAGTTTCCAGAGAAACAATCACCGCCAATTGACGAAGTACCAAGAAATTAGAAACACACGAGTCTGGCATGGGATTAAAGATATATAAAGTTATATATTTCTAGTAAGAGAATGAGCACAAACGAAATAAGTTTTACCAATTCAAGAAGGTGAGTAGAAAGGGAAAAGGATAGGTGTTTGTTCCTGATTGGCAAGTGTGCAAAGAGATCTTTGGTTAGGCCACTGGTTGGCACCAGAACATGACTAATTATGACGTGAAAGAGTAGAACATATGATTGGTTGGTTTGGTTGGTTGGGGTTGGTATCCCAAGCATGAATATTTGGTTGTATACATTGCTAGTTTCTATTATCACTGTCCTGACGAGGCATTAGATAGGCTTTGCTTACTGAATCACACAAAATGTGGCTATTCTTTGCCAACTCGGCACTCTTATGTTTATATTTATATATCTACTAGCAATAGTCCTATGCCATGTGCGACCACCAAAGAAAAAACAGTACACATAAAATGCACAAAACTCACTTGCACTAGAACAAACCTGCATATTTGTGTAAGATTTCAAATATAGATTATTATTCAAATGTTACATTTCACAACTGTTTGTTCTACCAATTTGTCATTTTGAAGAAAGTCAGGTGAACAAGAAGAGTGAAAACTTTGGCATGCCAGAATCGTTTAAAGTTTGCAATTGTCTTGAAGTGCTTGACACTTCTCTGTCTCAGTAGATCATATCATTAAACCAACAAGGATCATTGACACTGACTTGCTCTTGCCCTTTTTTTAAGACTCCTGATGCTTGACACTAACTTGCTCACCATAATTTCACAACACTCCCCTAATTACTCCAAGTTAGAAACAGGCAAAAAGTATTACGAAATTACTGACAATAAATGAGACCAAAAAGATAAAAATACTGACTGATCAGCATAAAGCAAAAGAATGAATAGGGCATCAAATTTCAGAAGTATTCAAAGTAGTATGTTTACAAACCTCCCAAAGTTAATTTCTTTCCCCGTGTTTCATATGACCACATAGGATCCAAGGAAAATTTGAGTACAGGAATTTTTACAATAACATACATATTCAAATTCACTTCAAGATCAGACAAATATTAATCTAGAAGAAACCTCCACCAATACACAGAGGGAAGCAAAATTTATTAAAACACAACTAACACTTCTTCATCTGCCTAGGCAATACGGATTCAGCTATGGTGAGTACGGCTTGATGAAGCTTTCGCCAGAAGTTATCACAAAAATAGAGGACTGTGCTGGCCACCTGACTCTTGGGGCACTTCGATGTCAACACTCTTAGCTATATGGATCTTTTCATTTTGTCCCATCTGCTCTTGTTTGAAAAAGCAACATGTAACAAGAACTTTAACAGGAAAAAGGGGGTCAGATTGGCTGTGAAAAAAAATCATGCCTGGCCACATTTTCTTAAACAAGCAATCCCCTCTTCCAGATAATCTTCTCTGCTAATCCAAAACTCCGATGCATCCTGCATGAGAAATCAAGGTTGTGTTTGGTAGAGTTTTAGAATTATGGTTTGAGAATATAGTTGTATTTTGAGTTTGTGAGTTTTAAAATTATGATTTGAGTGTGAAAAATTTGTTTGAATATTAGTTTTGAATTGAGTTTGGAATAATTGATGTGACATAGGATATTTGATTCAAAAACTTACAATTCATAACCAAACACACAACCCAAAATTCTATTCAAAACTCATAAAAAAAAATTTAAAAATTCAGAAACATATTTTTTGTTTAATATATAAAAAAATTGCATTGTTCCAGTCAACCGGCCGGACGTTTGGGAGGACGACCGGATAGGCCAAATTTCAAAATTCAAATTCAAATCCGGCATGAAACGAGTTTTCAAAAGTGATATGAAATTAATTTTTGAAAGTTATTGTAATAACCCCGATCTGTAATTAGCCACTAATCCGTAATCAATGATGCTAATGAGAGGATTAAAATAAATTATGTGTTTATTCTGTATTTTGCATGATATTTGGCTTTCTTTCTGTTGCCTGTAGAAATATCTGTTTGGATTTTCCGCTTTAATATGTAAATTGAAAGCCTTATCGGCATCCGAAACCGAAATTGATAATGTCATTATGTTATTTGGAATTTTTAGAACCTTGTGGCAAATTTTATTAAAAATTGATTCAGTCTGATTCGTTAGGTTGCGTTTGGCAAGCCTTATTTCTAATTAATACATTTTTAGCACCCTAGCTATATATGTGAGCCTTTAAGCTCATTTGAGCTCATTATCCCTCATAACTAAGTGCAAAAATCTAAGAAAACATTTTAGAGAGAGAGAGATTTCATTCTGGAGAGAAAGAGAGGAGATTGAAGAGAGAACTCAAAGATTTGTAGGTGCTCATCTAAATTGTGCAAGTTCTTAGCAAGACCAAGACTCTAGGTAAGAATTGAACCCCTAATTTATGAATCTAAGTCACCAACTTGAAGATTATGAGTTTAATTGTGAATATTGAGCCTAGGATGAAGATTTGAGTTACAATTCATACATGCATGCATAAATACATGAAGTTTCGACATGTTAAGCTTGATTTTGGGCATCTATGTTGTTATCATGAGTTATTTGGCACATGCATGTGTAATTCATCATATTTTAAAGCTTAAATCCATGTTTTGAAGAGAATTTCTTACATGCATCATTTCTTACATGCATAGAGCTTATGAGCTCAATTTGCTAGTTTCCTGAGTTTTGAAGAAAAGAGTTTGAAAGATTTTACATGCATGCTTTGTTTCTTAAATTTCAAGATGGAATATGAGTTTTTGGCAAAACCTTGGGCTATGATTTTATGAAATGATCCTAAATTCTTCATGCTTTACAAGTTTACTATGTTATCTCAAGTTTTGGGGCCCAAGAGATGTGTTTTGGAAGGTTGAATTCGAGTTTTGAGCTTGGTGATCAAATCTGAAAATTCCAGAATTTGCATCCACGCTCGAGCGTGGGAGTTCACGCTCGAGCAACCACTCTGAGTGCGTGCACTCCACTCGAGCGACCAAAAGTTGGCTCGAGCATGAATTGCAAGCTCCCAGAAGTTTTATGTCGTTTACAGATCGCTCGAGCGAAGGAATGTGCGCTCGAGCGACCATTCACATTTTGCATGTCCGCTCGAGCAAGAGAGTCTACGCTCGAGCGGGGACCTTATTTTCAGAAATTTTGCCTAAGTGTTCCAACTCATGTTTTGGCATCCACATTGCATCTTAGGTATTCCTAAGCCTAAATTAAGCTTTGATAATGAGATTATGGATTAGAAACACACTAAGAAAAGAATGTACCAAGTTCCGAGACTGCAAGTGTGTGTGTGTGTTTTAATCAATGTGCTAAGTATGAACAAGAACCAACGTAATGAAAGTTAAGCTGTGTTGGCCATGTGAACGTGTAATAATGAGATGTGTTGTGTTATGTACTTTTGTGATTGTAGGTCAACGTCTGAAGATTGATTAACCTTTGCGAGAACCATTGTGAGTAACGTTATCGTAAAGATACGTTTATATAAAATTATGTTCCAAATGAAATTTGATAAGTTATGATTTCTGTTATGATATCTGTTTTACTTGAACGAACATCCAAGTTTGAAATCTATTATGGCATCTATAGGTAGTCCCAAGTCATGGAGGACGTCATGAAAATGCGGGTCTATGACATACAAGTTTACGAGATCTCGTTAACCACTTCATTGTGGTGATATGTGTTTAATCGGTATCCGGAACCGGTTACTCTAGTCGGAAGACGTTCTGTAATGTATTTTATGAAATGTACCATTATTATGTTCTGATATGAGAATGATTATGCTATGATCTGTTTTCTGCTTATGATATATTCGGATTTCGTTCACTAACCTCTTTACCTTAATGTTATTCACTGGGCTTTAGCTCACTGTTTGTATATATATATATATGTATAGGTGAGCATTCTGGAGTTCAAGTCTGGAGACTTTTTGTCTAGATCTGTGTTCTGTTGTCAGCCAGCCATTGTGCCTCACGTGGAGGTTCCCGAAGTTTCTTGTGTTCAAGTTCTGTTGGTCCTGTGTATATATATGACTTGATGTAATTCTGTTGGCTGTACTTCAGATACTTTAATGTGTGTGGGTATAATGTATGATTGACTTTTGACTATGTATATAAATTTTTAAATATTCTGTTTCATATAAATCAGCACAGCTCATTGGACAACTATATTTATGTATTTGCTTCCGCTAGCCCCTTGTTATATGCTTATCTGTTCAGAGGCCTTCGGTAATCCAAAGATTACTGGCCGGTTACGATGCTAAACCTATAGGGGCGGGTTTGAGTCGTGATAGTTATAACCAAACACCATACTCAAATATAGATGTGGAGTCATGATTAAAACTCCACACCAAACACAGCCCAAATTTCTCCACATGCTTAACATCCAATTCCTAGCATTTCTGGTATCTAAAAATTTATTTTTTGTTAATAGATTCATTTTTCCTTATGTCTTTGTTTCTCTTTTTGCTTTCCATTTCAATTTGCTTTTCACAAATCTGAAATCAACAAAAACAAATGCTCCAAAGATTTGGTTAGCTTTAAAAGCATAAGACATTCTCAAAATGGTGAAGAAAATGCAAGTTAATAGAACTTATCACTGAAATTGCAGTAATGGCTATGATGTTGTACCTTCATAATTCCTGCAAGGACTGCACCTCCAAGGTACACCATATACTTTCTTTGTGGTGGGTCCTCTATACGCAAATGTAGCTTCTGTTACAGTCAAAGCAGAAGAAGACCAAAAGAGTTGTTCACTAACCAGATGTGAGGGGAGAAAGGTTTGTGCAAGGTTAGAAATGGCTATACCGAGCCCAAAAAGAAAAGTTAAAAATGGTTGGCAACATTGATCTGTTGTCTAAGAAGTAGTATGTATCGCAAGTCAATATCTTGAGTTAGCAAACCATTCTAAGCTACAAATAGATGCTCATAGTAAAAAGTACCATCATGTGCAGTTAGCCTGCAAACAAGGATGGCCATGTAATATTTAAGTAAATCTAAAGACAACGCAAAAGAATGGAAGGACACTTGATTCAGCTCACAATACAAAGGCTTAGGAAAGCACGGTGTGTTCTGACTTCTGGTATATAGAGTATTTGGGTGGTGAAGATTGACAATGCCAGACATTGTCAACTTCAGGAGTTCCCCAAAAATACTTAATGTTAATTACACATCAGATTTACTGAGATAAATTTGAGTAGTGAGTTGGAATATGAAACGAAACCCTTAATACTAGACTGTATGAACAAATAAAAAACATGATAATTTTTCATTACCACAACACATGTAACTTCGTTATTACCTTCAACCCATCCTTGTTTCCCTTCAAAATAACTTCAAGGTAACGGTCTAAAATTTCTTTCTCCAAGCTGTAGAAAAAGAAATAATAAACTTTAGTAATGGCTTGGCACAAGAAACTACAGAAGCACAATGTTTACAGTCAATATGCCTACAAGAAATATTCTTCAGGACAAAAGATCCTAATGTATCCCAATAATAAACTTTAATTTATAGTATTGAAATATCAAAACCAAATGTAACCCTATAGTAAAAGAACAGAACTAAAAAAAAAAATCTTCTTAGGTTCTTACACAAGTGAGATCACTATTTGTTATTAAAATCAGACAGGACAGATGACTACTTTAGCTGTAATTTTGTAAAGCATGTGAAATGGAAGTTTCTCTAATAATGTGACAAGAACCTAGAGCCTAGAGCAATGAACTACACAGGTTAAGTTTTAAGAAATGTAGAAAGAGTGAAACATCCATGCAAATATTTTTTTATAAGTAAAAATTCATGCAAATATAACTTGAGAGAGACAAAATTAATATGGTTTCATCATATCACCAAGAAGAAAACAACATAATGATTTTCATTTTTGCAAAAAGGATTTAAATTTATTATCGACTAGGTAATCCAGGATACATAATACTCCCTCCACTTACAACTATGTGTTGATAGAGCTGCGAAAAACAAAACAAATTAGGGGTTAAAAAATACAAGAAAATAAACTCAAATACATTACAAAGTGTATATTGTACAAGGCATGAAGTGGTCACATGGTATAGAAAAAATCTATATTGCAAGACAATTGTATCTTCATCAAATTTGTAGAATATATATGTCATTGTTATAACTATTAAGATTGATAATACTAAAATGCTTTTAAGTAAAGAACTATAAGAATTATTGCTTACAAAATGACCTACATACCATCATATCGATGTCCATTTCCTGAATACAACGAAATACCATGTCAGTCATTCCATCACCTTCGACGTCTATGAGTTCCTGCAAGAAGACAACAATTTAAACTTCTACAAATTCCAACCTATCAAAGTATTATTAAAACTGTGTAACCTCATAGACCTAAAAATACTTGACTGAAATCAGCATTCTAAATGTTGAGAATGCTCCAACAATGTCATAGTTCATAGAAAACTCCACCAACAAAATAGCCTAGTTTTGGCAAGATCAACCATCAATTAAAAAAGATTTTTTATCAGAGCATACCAAGGTGATTAGGAGCATCTGATAGTCTTTCCCAATGGAAACTTTATATATTGACATAGACTTTGTTAGTAGAATTCAAATCTGATCTTGAAGAATTCAAATTTTCAGAACAACCATGCACTATAATCAAAATAGGCAAATAGAGATGAAACTCATCAAACAACATACAATGTTGAATTCAAGCTACTCATAAGTACAAAAAGAGAATATAAACCACCTTTTTTCACAAAGGTAAAAAATTAAAAAGAAAAGTAATATCCAAAAGAACCAGAGATATATGAAATAAAGAGAAATTCGAAGTTTCCATAAAGTTCTTAAAGATACGTAACTGAAGAGAACAATGCACTTACAAGAGTAAAAAGAGCCTCAGGAGCGTGGAACCGTTTAGTGCCAACTTTGATGACCCTTCCATCTAGCAGCAGATTAAATCAACTTTTCTTAATAAATTAACAAAAATACGTACAAATTTTAATACGGAAATGTATAACCTATGTCATATATATACATATATAAAGTGTGTTAATTTCCTAGAAAATGAAAAAACCAATGAGAAATATGAGACAAAAATCCACGAGTTAAATAGTAAGTACGCATAAGTAAATATGTTCAACTACTTTTAAACTAATCCGCATGATGGCAACCATATATGAAACTACTATGACATAATTTTAAAAAAACAACCATTGCTATTAATTGCTTTAAACCTCCTAGCTTGGGATATTTTACATGTCGCAATCACAGTCACACCATGCCCAAAAGGAAAGTAAGTTGAACAATTCCTAGAAGATTCTATATAATTACACAAATAGATAAGAGAATAAACTTCCAATATAATTCTTAACAAGGATGGTAGTCTCAAGTCCCAATTGATATTCCCTTTTGTAATCATAACTGCAGGAAAACAGATCTAATTTATTGTAATGAAACAAATCCCAAAAAAGCATACCAAACTATATGTTATTTCTTGACCTTAAATAGCAAAGCTTCTCTTTGATATCCCTAACAGTCTCAAAGTCAGTGGTGCTATTCATTGCATACCTTCAGAAATGAAAGTTTGGTGTTCCAATCAAAGTACAAGTAATTTCTATTAAAGGTTACGCCCATTTTGGCGTCTTTCAAATATAATACACTACATATGTATTGAGAATAACTGATGTTGACCCTTACCCTCCACGTTGAAGCAAATAAACGAGATAAGATGTTATATGTCTGCCAGCAACATTCATCCGTTTTGTGAGATAAGGGAATGAGTAGCCATCAACAACTGGAACCTGGAGAGAAGATTTAGCCATCAACAACTGGGACCTGGAGAGAAGATTCAAGTAATTATACTTCCTAAGCAGAGATTCCCAAACTACAGTCACAATGCTGATGGCTCCTCCAACTTAACAATAGAACTATTAATCAAAACACATGAAATAGTGGAATACAACCAACCCAGTTGATACAGCAAACAACTCTATGGATGCCAGTACACAGCAACCTGAATTGCTTACGAACTTCATGAATCAGTTTTTTTTTTCCTTTTTTTGTACTCTTTGATAAGTATAAGGAAATATCATTAAAGAGGCACCAAGGAAATATCAACTATACATCAAAGCTATTCAAAATTGTCTACAAAATCTAAAGATTGGTCCAATCACAAAAAATGAACTTCACATATTGACTTTCTGTAAAGCCTGAACTGAAAAATATACCTATTAAGTTTTAAGACTATTTCATATCAACAAGGCTTATTCAGAAAAGTGGACGTTGAAGTTATTAGAGAAACATCCTAGTTACATGATATACGAATCATAGGAAAACATTTTGGTCACATTTGAACATCCCATGGAGTGAATCATTTCAATCAGTTTTCTATATGACTTAGAAGCAAAAATTGATTTTTAGAGAGAAGGGAAAAAAAAAACTGCACAAATAAATAAAACATTATAAACATAACAATTCAGCGAAGTCTAAGAATTTGTATCATATGATATAACTAATAAAATGGTTTTTTGTGTTATAATATGCAAATAATGTGAAAAATTCATTTGCATGAATGCCCACAGAAGTGACTAATTGAATAGGAACAAAGGGAAAATAAACAGAAAAAAGAAAAGAAAGGGCTCTTGATACTTCTAAAGGGTAATGCAGAAATGGTTCTTGAGTACTTTACCACATGAGTTACACCATCGCCAGAGTCAATGACTAACCCAGTCAGTAAACCTGAGAGAGTTCAAAAATATTTTTCAGGAAACCAATCTCATGCTGGAAAAGATATATTTGCAGATGACGTTGAATAAAAGCAACAACAATAGTAACATGGACTATCTTCAAAAGAGAATTCAAACAGAGTTACCAGGGCGATTTGTGTGTGTCATTTCCTTTGGACTTTAGAATGAAGTGAAAGATAGATGTCACGCTACACACACACACACACACACAGAATTCATGAACATTAAGCTTTCTAATTATTTCAATAAGCACCTTGAGCATAGAGGTGTTTGGGAAGAGCTTTTTTTAGCTTTTTTGGCTAAAATAGCACTAAAAAACAAAATGGACTAAAATAGTCAATAAGACAAAATGTCACATCAAACTCATAATCATTTTAGTTTTTCTCTCATAAACATCACATTCAACTGCAAAAGAATCCAACTATCTTCCCAAACACAAAAATTTTAGCCTCCTAAAATAACTAAAAACTAAAATAGCCTACAAAAATAGCAACTTCCCAAACACCCACAAAGTTAAAACAGCTTGGATTTGAATGAAGACACCAGCGAAGTTGTACTTCTCAAACATGGTCTCGACCTGTAATGTGACGATAAATTCAGATAAAGAAAATTGCATTGTGTGATAATTTATTCTTAACAACTATACGAATAGCACTAAAAAACAAAATGGGCTAAAATAGTCAATAAGACAAAATGTCACATCAAACTCATAATCATTTCAGTTTTTCTCTCATAAACATCACATTCAACTGCAAAAGAATCCAACTATCTTCCCAAACACAAAAATTGTAGCCTCCTAAAATAACTAAAAACTAAAATAGCCTACAAAAATAGCAACTTCCCAAACACCCACAAAGTTAAAACAGCTTGGATTTGAATGAAGACACCAGCGAAGTTGTACTTCTCAAACATGGTCTCGACCTGTAATGTGACGATAAATTCAGATAAAGAAAATTGCATTGTGTGATAATTTATTCTTAACAACTATACGGAACAAAACTATTTGAGAAAGAATGATCTCAGACCCTTTTTTCAAGGTATCCTCTGTTAGCTTTTGATAAAACTCTCTTTAGAATGAACTATATTTTGTATTGAATTTTTATCACTTATTGATTCATCTATCTTGCCCATAGGCTTACATCCTATAAAATACATGAATATAAAAATACATGAATACAAAGAATGTATGAACTCAATGTATCCAATGCATGCAATGTATCCAATGTATCTAATGTAAATATGGCATTAATTTTAACACTCCCCCTTAATGCCATATTGTGTGACACCCAACATTTCTCTAAAAAATTCAAATTTGTCCCTTGGTAGAGCTTTGGTGAAGATGTTCGCAACTTGATCTTCAGTCTTCTAATACTTGATTTGAATCTCATCATCTTCCACAGCTTCTCTAATGAAATGATGTTTGATAGCAATGTGTTTGGTACGAGAATGGTAGACGGGATTCTTTGTCATAGCAATAACAGACTTATTATCACACATAATTGGAGTAGCTTCATCTTGTTTCTCACCAAAACCATCCAAAAATCGTCTTAGCCAAATTGCTTGTGTAGTTGCTAATGATGCTGAAATATATTCGGCTTCAGCAGATGATTGTGCTTCCATCTTCCTTTGACAACTTTTCATTCACAATCAAGGGAGTAGCAACTGATTTGCAATTCTTCATTTGGAATTTCTGAAGAAGTGTTTGAGCATACTTCTTTTGGCAAATAAAAACACCACCATTGTTTTGGTGGATTTCAATGCCTAAAAAATGATGCAATAGCCCCAAATCACTCATTTCATATTTCTTCATCATCTCCCTTTTAAAATCTTCAATCAATTTTTCATCACTACCGGTAAAAACCAAATCATCAACATAAAGTGAAACAATGAGAATACCAGTTGTACCTTGCCTCTTGATGTACAAAGTTGGCTCACTTTTGCTTCTTTGAAAACCCTTTTCATTGAAGTAAGCATCAATTTCACTATACCATGCCCGGGGTGCTTGCTTTAGGCCATATAAAGCCTTCTTCAACTTGTACACTTTATCTTCTTTGCCTTTGACAACAAAGCCTTGAGGTTGATCAACATACACCTCTTCTTCTAATTTTCCATTCAAAAATGCTGATTTTACATCAAGTTGGTGCAAGAACCAACCCTTTTGAGCCGCCAAAGCAATGATAGCTCTAATTGTATCAAGTCGAGCCACAGGAGCAAAAGTTTCTTGGAAATCAATTCCAGGTTGTTGTGAATACCCTTTTGCCACAAGTCTTGCTTTGTTCTTTTGAATAGAGCCATCCGGATTGAACTTTGTTTTGAAAATCCACTTCACACCAATTATTTCTTTTTCTTTCGGTTTCTCCACTAACTCCCAAGTCTTGTTCTTCTCAATCACATGAATTTCATCTTCCATTGCTTTCTTCCATGCTTCATCTTTAATTGCCTCTTCAAAATTTTCAGGTTCAACAATGCATAAATTGCATCTTGCATACACATCACTAAGACTCCTAATATTTCTTGGAATTGAACTTGGAGATGAAGAACTTGAACTTGGAGAAGATTGTGAACTAGCAATTGGTGACAATCTTTGTGGAGAGTCAAGAGTTGCAACATCTTCAACTTGTAGACTTTCCAATTCTTCATTGAAAGCAATGCTTTGATCTTGGACTTTCTTTTCCTTCCAATCAAAAGACGCCTTTTCATCAAAGAGAACATCTCTGCAAATAATCACCTTCTTTTGATCCAAACTGAAGAGTCTATAGCCTTTGGATTTTGAGCTATAACCCACAAAGATGCATTTCTTACTATTTTCATCAAGCTTGTGCCTCACTTCTTTTGGAACATGAGCATAACAAATGGAACCAAACACCTTCAAGTGATTCACCGATGGTTTCCTTCCACTCCAAGCTTCAAATGGAGTTTTGTCCTTAAGAGCTTTTGTAGGACATCTATTCATCAAGTAAACTGATGTATACACGGCCTCACCCCAAAAAGTTTTGGGTAGCCCCTTCTCATGTAGCATAGACTTGGGCATCGCCTCTATGGTTCTATTCTTTCTTTCTGCCACACCATTTTGTTGTGGAGTATACCCAACAGTCAATTGATAATTCTTGGAAAGATTGCTTCTGAAACTCCTTGTTGAATAAAAGAGAGAGCCTTTGAATCCTTCTTCCTTTGCTCTTTTAATTGGTTCTCTTGGGGATTTGTCAAAGCTTCTTCATCTTCAGGTTCCTCGAACCCATTCTCAACAAGTTCCCAAAGCTCCGTATAGACCAAAATAGTTCTCATTTTCACATACCAAAAATCAAAATTTTCACCATTAAAGATAGGAGCGGATACATTTTGGTTGATGGGATTCGCCATGGACGTCGGTTTGTTCTTCTTCGGGGCTTGTTTTCCCGTATCCGATCTCTACGCCCAGCTTGCTCTTGACCCAACCAAAGCTCTGATACCACTTATGTTAGCTTTTGATAAAACTCTCTTTAGAATGAACTATATTTTGTATTGAATTTTTATCACTTATTGATTCATCTATCTTGCCCATAGGCTTACATCCTATAAAATACATGAATATAAAAATACATGAATACAAAGAATGTATGAACTCAATGTATCCAATGCATGCAATGTATCCAATGTATCTAATGTAAATATGGCATTAATTTTAACAAGCCTTCTTCAACTTGTACACTTTATCTTCTTTGCCTTTGACAACAAAGCCTTGAGGTTGATCAATATACACCTCTTCTTCTAATTTTCCATTCAAAAATGCTGATTTTACATCAAGTTGGTGCAAGAATCAACCCTTTTGAGCCGCCAAAGCAATGATAGCTCTAATTGTATCAAGTCGAGCCACAGGAGCAAAAGTTTCTTGGTAATCAATTCCAGGTTGTTGTGAATACCCTTTTGCCACAAGTCTTGCTTTGTTCTTTTGAATAGAGCCATCCGGATTGAACTTGGTTTTGAAAATTCACTTCACACCAACCAGAAATTGCAAAGAGATTTTTTTCACTGCTAACACAAATAGCCGGAACACGTCAATGTACAATTAATGAACTACCTTCATTAAGTTTTTGTCAAATAAATTATAAGAAAGCCATCTTGTTATCTAGAAACAACACCACCAAAGTTCTGATGCATTAAGAAATAAGTGCACCTTCAGCTCTTGTTCCATGAGGGATTCTTCATAGCGGAGCATCGGCCTTCCCACCATGCAAGGGAATACAGAGGTGGCAAAGTTTTCATCTGCAAAACCACACTTGACATACTGCATTGAACATATATCCAGTCCAGTCTCAAAAAGTGAAAGAAGAAAAAAAAAAATACAACTTAATGGTGAAATCATTCAATATCATTATAGCTTGCTCCAATATCTCATGAACTTAAATTGCTCGTTCATGTATTTACTAATTACAAATCTATCATTCAAAGGGGCAATCTCAATTGCCCATTTCATATGATCATTCTATATCCTTAAAGGGTTGCTGCCAATCTTGAAAATAACAAAATCTTGCAGTGGAGGTCGAAGGTCAATCAAAGTGAACATTTTCCAAAAGTCATTCACTCAAAGACACGTACTGCCTCCATTCTAAAATATTAATTCCCATATTCTATTTTATATTATTCTAAAATATTAGTTTATTTTTAAAAATTAAGAAATAAAGTAATATAATTTTTTTATTTTGACCTCGTTTTAAATTCATTAATTATGACTATTGATATTATTAAAAAAAAAATTAAAGAGTAATTTTAGAAATTTATATTTTGAAGCGTAATAATTGTATTTTTTTAAAAAGTCGGATTCCAAAAGGACAGAGTAAATAAAATATCCAGAAACATATATGTGTGTATATATATATATATATTGTAAAGCAGATTACATAAAATCTAGCTGATTTTACAATGCCAAAATCGATCTCCAAGGTTTTCAGGTGGAAAGAATAAAGGGTTATGACAATTAGATTGGATTGAACAAAGGAATGAACATTATGTTTGGGAGCTTAAGAGAGAAAAGAAAAGAAATAATTATTTAAGTAATAAGAGAAAAGAAATGAAATGAAATAATTGTGATTTCTCTCCTTTTTGTTTGGATAAGGAAGAAATAAAAGAAAAGAAATGATTGTGATTTCTCTCATTCTTGTTTGGTTAGGTTTTATTAAGAGAAAAGAAAAAAAATTATTTTATGTTATATTACCAAAATAACTTTTTTATATTTTCAATCATTTTATTTCTTTTATTTTTATAGAGACAAAATTAGTATTATAAAAATAGTGATTTCTTTTCTCTTTCAATCTCTCTACTTTTGAGAAGATTGAAAATGAGTCTCATAAGAGAAATGAGTTTCTTTCCATTTCTCTTCATTTCTTTCAATTTCTCTCTACTTAAGTTATCCAAACAAATAAGAAAAATACATATCATACCATTTTTTTTCTTTTCTCTCCAAATCACTCAATCCAAACATAGCGGAAGAAATAAGTTGGAAAGAGAGAGATGTGTGGCGTTACCCCAGTGCCACTGTCGCAAATGACGACGTTTCCGATGTCCATGACCCTTTACACTTCAACTACTACTCTTCTTCTTCTTCTTCTTTTAGATGATCAACCCAACCCCCTCGCCTCGATCGCTATACACCTGATTCTCGGATGATGTGTGAAGAACTTAGATAATTGAAAAAAAAAAATACATAATTTAAAATTTTTAAATAATAATTAAAATTAAAATTGTCATAATTATAAAATTTATGAGAAATAATTGAAGAATTGATGGGTTATAATTTAAATAATATTATAATTAAAAAAATTAAGGGTTGATTATTTAAAAGTTATATTTACAAATGTTATGGTAATTCAAGTCTTATTTAAAAAAATTTGAATCAATAAGATTCTATTTAGTAAAATTGAAAATATTATTAGTTTTTCTCAATTTTAAAATTAAGAATATTATCAATTTTGTATACTAATTTATCAGATAATTGTTTTATTAATTGATGGGAAAAAAAACAGAGCGTGTGATTAAACGTTTTTGCCTTTCTACTTATTGCTTTGATTCGACTATCCAATAAAATCGAGAATATTATCAGTTTTTTCCAATTTTAAATTGAGAACATTATTTTTTTTTTCTAGTTTTGCACATTGATGTTCCATCATCATGCTCTTTTATAGATACAAAATTTTCAATTTTGTGCAAAAAAAAAAAAAAATTCAATTTTTTCAAAAAAAAACTTTTTGCACATATTTTTTTTTTAGTTTTTTTTCAATTTGAAAGTTAATATTTTAAAATTTTTAAAATTAAAATAAATTTCAAATCATTATATTTCTTTATAGATAATCATAAATGATGAACAATTATTATTTGAATGGTAATGGGACTTGAAGGTTTAAAAAATTTTTAGTTAGAGCCTAATAAAGTATAAGTTCATAAATTATGATTTGTGTGTAAATGCCTAAAAAATTAATTATAATTATAAAAATAAAATAATTAGAATATATATTACAAAAATGTTTAAAATCTCAAAAATTCTACCAAATATCTCAAGTGGATCTCACACTCATATGACACCTTTGATAAAAATTTTAATATAATTTTAGGATATATAACATAATCCTATATATTATTTTTTATAAAGAGAGGTGTATGTTAAAATTTCCCTTTCAAATGTCATATTGGGCCATGGTGATGCTGACATGAGAACGGCGACCTATATTATTCTCTTTTGGGCCAACCTTTACGAGTCCGGATCCTCGGCCGCACAACCCTGCAGCCATCCCTGCAACACCCCCAAAACGATGTCGTTTTGGGGGAAATTTCAATTTGAAAAAAAAAAAAAAACTAGAAACCAGAGGGGAAGAAGAGAGCGAGGACGGAGGGGGGACCAAAATCAAACCCAGAAACTAGAGGGGAAGAAGAGAGAGAGGACGGCCGGCGACATCTCGTGTTTGGCGGCCATTGTGCAGAGATTCATCAGAAATAGGTATATATGTATATGTATGTAGTGCGAAGTGAAATGTTCGTTCATTCACCCCACTCCTTCACCATTAAAGCTCCGATCCGGCCCCCTTCCGTCCTCTCTCTCTGCAAAAAAGAGCCAAAAAGACTCAACAACCACTCATCTCTCTCCTCACTCTTCTTCTCTAATCGTTCTGACCAAAGTTTAGATTATTAACTTGTGAAAGAAAAAAATTAGAACAAGTTAAAAATCCAAAAAAAATTGGTAGTTTGAATTTTTCAACAAGAAATTGTAACTTGATTAAGAGAGAGAGAGAGAATTGAATCTGATGGGGTGGAGTCCCTCCCTTCGCCGGCGCCGCTGTTTCTAGGTTCTTCTCCCCCTCTTCTTCTCCCTTCTTCTCCCATCTTCCTTCCTTCTTCTCCTCCTCTGGTTTTTCCTCTGGTTTCTATTATGTTTTTCCTCCTTTCCAAACCGCAAGGATGGTGAGGTGTTGCAGAGCATAGGAAAAAAAAAAGGGAACCCAAATCTATGTGTCTGATCACCGCACATTTCTCGCCAAAATTAAAAGCACCAATTGGATTGGGTTTTTAATTCTTCACTGGAAGTTCATATGTGAATGTATATATATGTATTTGTTTGGTTGTATAAGTTTGTACTCTTATTCCTGGGTTTGATTTTGGTCCCAGAGTTTTGATTTGTTATAAGAAATAAGAAATCTACTCTCTTCTTCTCTAGAAATCAACTCCCTTCTTCTCCTCTGGTTTTTTTTTTTTTTTTTAAATTGAAATTTCTCCCAAAACGATGTCGTTTTAAGGGTGTCGCAGGGATGGCTGCAGGGTTGTGCGGCCGAGGATCCGGACTCCAACCTTTACCTTATCTCTTCAGCCCATTCTATTATGCTGCTCAGGCACGTGGATCCAGCGTAACGTACTATCATCTTGATCGTTTTTTTTATATATATATATATTTTAAATTTCTTGAATTATAGTTAAAATAATGAATAATAGTAAATAATTTTAATTTGAGAGTTCTAAATAAAACTCTAGTGAAGTGGAAGAGAGAGAGAGAGAAGTGTGGATTCCATCATCACATGAATACTCTCCACATCATTAGAGTTGCATTAGAACTCTCAAATTAGAACTCTCAAACATGATTATTACAATTAGAAAATAATAATTATAATTAAATAAGAACGTGACACAATTAGAATATATATTATTTTTATAAAGGGAGATGTATATTAAAATTTCTCGAAGTTCAGATGTCATATTGGCCCATGGTGATGCTGAACTCAATACAACAGCCTATATTATTCTCTGTTGGGCCAACCTCCTCTCTTTAGCCCATTCTATGATGCTATTCAGGCCTGTGGATCCAGCGTAACCTAGTATCATCCTGCTTGTTTCATTTTTTTTTTATAAAGATTATTTATTAAGTTCAAAAAATTAAGCTATAATTTTAAAAATAAATATTATGCATTAATATAATTTTAATTTTCTAAATAATCTATACACATAATTATTCTTACTTTATTTTATTTTCTTTTTCTTTATGTTCAAGACTTTGCTGAAAACGGTCTGACTTTTCTCTTTTCTCTAGTTGAGAGACAATATTAGACTCCCCAACAATTTGCTTCGATGGGTTTTATATATAGGGCACCGTGACATGATCAAAATTATGCATAAAAATTAAAATTGCAAAATTGATTAAATAACTATAATTAAATAATTTTATCGGTCTCAAAAATGGCCCCTATCTTGACTTAAACTAAATTAATTTATCATAAATAATCTTTGCACAGAAATGTTTTAATTAATTTAAATGAGACGGAGGTGAATCCAAACAATACCGTCGCCAAATTAAAATTTGAAGTTGGGCTTTGGAGTCTTACGAAAGCGTAGGAGCCCCAACAGATGAGTCCAGTTGAGAGAGGGAGCCATTTCGCAACAGAACTAACTAGGGCTCACATGTCTGATGAAAAACGACTGCGTTTCGAGCATTAACCAGACGATATAATCCAGTAGTCGAACAGCAGATACTTTTAGTTTGTAGGGTTTTCGCGTTGCCGTCCGCAAACCCTAATCGCAGTCAAGGCGACAGAACATAGTCCTGCAGAAATGGTGATCTCTCGCTCTGGCTCTCGCTCTCTCATGGCTTTGTAGATTCTTTATTGATTTTGATCGACCATCGATGTTTTTTTTTCTTTTCTTTTTTTTTTTTCTAATTATGTTTGAATTGATATACCATGGAAGGCTCCGAAGAAAGGTGTGAAACCAGCAGCAGCAGCAAAGAAGAAACCGGAGAAGGTGGTGAACCCGTTGTTCGAGAAGCGTCCGAAGCAATTTGGTATCGGAGGAGCATTGCCGCCGAAGAAAGATCTGCATCGGTTCGTGAAGTGGCCAAAGGTGGTCCAAATTCAGAGGAAGAGAAGGATCCTCAACCAGCGCTTGAAGGTCCCACCACCATTGAATCAGTTCACCAAGACCCTTGACAAAAACCTCGGTCAGAATTTCAATTTAAACTCACATAAACCTAGATCGCATAGGATTTTATTTCAAATCATCATTTTTTTAGCTAGTAGTGGGATGATTGTCAGATCGTATGACTCAAATAAATAAATAAATTTCCGACTGTATTTGATATGATCTATTCTGTGTGGTATGGGCCATTTTATTTTTGGATTTCATGTGTAGGTCTGTGTTTGACCCATGTGGTTGCAGCTTTTAATATTTTGATGCTGTATAATTTTATTTTTTATTTATTTTTTTGGGTGGGGGTTTTTTTTTAATCTATTTTATAGATCTGTCTGAGAATGAAAAACTTGTGAGAACTGTAATGGAAAAAACATGTGAGAACTCTCGTGTTTATTTTAGGATTTGTGTTTATTTTTTTTAATCTATTTATTTTTAATCTATTTTATATTCTATGTTTAAGCTCCAGTTACTAGCAAGTTAATGAAGAGTTTCAAATTATTTATTTTAGGATATAAAAAGATAGTTCTCGTGTCTGTTTTGCATATGCTGTTGTGTATATGTGGGCTGATCTTGCTATGCACCCTTGTATGTTCAACCTTGTTTGTAATTATCTCTACTTCTCTAGAATACAAAGTTCTGTATTTATTAATCAAATTAGTCTTTTGTTTCCTACATGTTTGATTTTTAGCAGAGATTTATATTATACACATGGCCAATGTGGGCAAGCACAAAAATGAACTTTTTGATATAGAGAATGATAATAATTGTTAAATGAGATATTTAGTAATGTTGTTTTGCTCATTGAAACTAGTTATGTGATTATGAATTTTGAGCATTGTCTTCCATGTTTTGTAAAATGTTAAAAACTAATATAGATATCTGGGAAAACAAAATATGAAAATAAATATATGTTTTTCTTGTATAAACAACATAAATGCAAGTTAAATTGTATCTACATCTTCTCTTGCCTAGCTATGTCATTTATACCCATATCACTGCAAAATACTATATGGGTGGTAGCAACTTTGTGGTTTCTTTACTCCTATATGTGGACTAAATTAGTGTTTTTGGTTTGCTATTTCCTATGTTCTCAAAATAAAGCTTAATCGACAAACCTCTAGCCTGGTACATATAATTGCAAGAGTTGATAAGTGTTTTAGGTGTGGCTCCTATTTCAATGTTCCAGTTTCCTGCCTCTATATAATTGCAAGAGTACTTTTTTGATATATGTGGTCTTTCAACCCACGCAACTTTCAATCATCATAAATAAGTTTTACTGTTGTTCAATTCTGCCATTTGTGTCTCAATGATTGGAACTCTTCTTGTTGGTTTTCACTTCGCCACATTTGCTTGACATTTTTCTTTATCTAATAATATGCAGCAACGAATCTTTTCAAGATGCTTCTCAAGTACAGGCCTGAGGATAAAGCAGCAAAAAAGGAGCGCCTTTTGAAAAGAGCTCAGTCTGAGGCTGAAGGAAAACCTATTGAGGCTAAAAAGCCTATTGTTGTGAAATATGGTCTCAACCATGTCACCTACCTCATTGAGCAGGTGTGGTTTTACTTTCATTGCACGGTCTTACTTGCGAACCATGTCACTCTGCCTGTGGCTTCTTTTCTAAAGAACAGCTATAACAAATTCAATTTTTGCAGAACAAAGCACAATTGGTAGTTATTGCTCATGATGTGGACCCAATAGAGTTGGTTGTCTGGCTTCCCGCATTGTGCCGGAAGATGGAGATCCCATACTGCATTGTGAAAGGAAAATCTCGATTGGGAACGGTAAGTGTGCTACTATTTTGTTTTCTTAAATGATTCGTAAAGCCCAAACTAATTTACATCGCTTTCTCCCGACAGATTGTCCACAAGAAAACTGCATCAGTTCTGTGCTTGACCACTGTCAAGAATGAAGACAAGTTGGAGTTCAGCAGAATCTTGGAGGCTATCAAGGTGGGGGCAAAAACAAATTTCTCATAGCTCTAATGAGCATGTGCAGTACGTTTGATTGATTATGGTCATTCATTTTGTTGGTTTGTTCTTGCTGTTTCAGGCCAACTTCAATGACAAGTACGATGAGTACAGGAAGAAGTGGGGCGGTGGTATCATGGGTTCCAAATCCCAAGCCAAAACCAAGGCCAAAGAGAGGCTTCTTGCGAAGGAAGCTGCTCAGAGGATGAACTAAGACACTTAAATCATAATATCTATCCTGCTTGTTGGGTTGTGAGTCTGTTTGAGGACTTTCATCGATTCTAAAATTTTTGTTATGTCAATTTTATTCAGATTAACTGGGAGTTTTTGAGGGGGCAGGTCATGTTTAGAACAAATAGTACTGCTGTTGAATGTATGAATTCAGAATTCTCTATTTTTATATTGGCTTAAATTAGATTTCGTTGCATAATGGTTTATTTGATGAAATTACTGGAGTAATTTGAGCCACTTTTGTGGTTAATTTCTCAATGAGATGGGCCTTACAACCATTATTGTTACGACGTGTTTGAATTATGCATTTGGTTGGAAAGGTAAAGAGAGTTTTGTTTTGTTTTTTTTGTTTTTAATTTTCTTTTTTAAATATTTACTTAAATTTATGTTCTAAACACACTTTACAATGACTATTTAAATTGGGAATTGAAGTGTAGATCTAAATAGGTTTACTCATTATTTAATAATTTTTATGATAATTAATGATATTTTTTTTTATAAAATACTATTAAAAAATATCACTAATTATTAATTTTTAGTAATAGTTTAAAATATTTATTACAAAAAAACGTTACTAATTGTAAGTTTTTAGTGATAATTTATAAAAATTGTGACAATAAAATCATTAATTGTCAATTTTTAAAGACATAATATTTTTTGTGATAATTTTATATTGATTTATTTTTAATAAAATTTGATGATAATTAAATTCAAGAGCTATTAATAATTTACCTTTTAAATTAGCCAGCCTTTCATAAACTGAAATCTTTCGTAATATTTTTGTTTAATATATCAATTTTAGACTGATTTTGGAGAAAAGGCATGGTGTGATTGTGGTTTGCCAATGAAGATGTAAACCGTTAATACGGTAATAATCTCTCTACCCCTTCTCTTCCCTTTTTTTTTTTTTTTTTTTTTTTGATGTGGGATCCATTCCCTATTTAGCAAACCAGCTTTCAAATATTTTTTAGGGGAAATTGCTGAAAATGACGTGGACAGATTTAGTGCAAATCAATGGAATGTTTCCGAAATGGTATGGGAGATAGATAGGAAAAAAGAAATTTCGAAAAAACAATATGATGAGTTAAGAAGACTAAACTACCCTTGCTGGTCTTTTCCTTTTTCTCATTCTTTGCTACTCTAGCGACCACCAATCCTTGTCAGCCAGTTCTCTTGCCATCATAGTCCTTCCCCACCACCCTCCCCTGCCACCTCTCCTTTACCCTTCCCAGTTATAGCATGCTCTCTTGTCTACTCTTTCGTTTCCCTTTACCTCCCATCCATGTCACCGCCATTACTACTCTCCACCCTAACCAACCATCAACGACCTCTTACCTTTTGTCGCCCTTCCCAATTTTAAACCCCCTTAGATTGGATTAGATCTCAAAAAAATTCTAAAATCAAACTTTAAAAGAAAAGAGAGAAAGGGAATGAGAATAGGAATTATAATGATGGTAATGTGAAAGGGGGCTGGAGGTTGAAGTGATAGTAACATAGAGGAGTTGTGGAGAAGGAATTGGGAGGGATGGAGGTGTAGTGGAGGGGTGACAAAGAGCTAGGGCCTACGCTGGACTTAGAAGGTTGGGAGATAAGGTTGGAAACGGAATACAAGGGTTGGGGGAAGAGAATTGGGATCCTCCCCTTCATCTCTCTCCTTCATTCCCTCCTTGCAGGGCCATCGGGTCCACTTTGAGGCCCAATTTTGATAATCCGAATCGTTCATATTTTAAGATTTATTCAGTATATCATACCTGTAAAAAATCAAGTTAATCGGATATCAGAAAGTATGTGTTCAGAAAACTATTTATTAAAAAATAGTTTGTAGTCCCAATTTTTTGAACGCATACTTTCTAATATCCGATCAATTTAATTTTTTACAGGTATGATATACTGAATAAATATTAAAATATGAACGGTTCGAATTATCAAAATTGAGTCTCAAAGTGAACCCGAAGATCCTTGCAAGGAGGGAATGAAGGAGAGAGATAAAGGGGAGGATCCTTGCTCGGGGGAAGAGGTGTTACTGCCACTATTGTCAGAAAGAGGTGCCCGGTAAGGGTTTTCAAAAAAGGAAAAGAGAAGAAAGGATCATAGAGTAAGGAGGGGAATATTTTTGTAAATTAACAAAGAATCCCACTCATTTGCAATTATTTTAAATGTTTTCAGATTTTTTTTTTCCCATAATTTTTTGTTTTGTTTTGTGTTGCGTCTGGTGTGCATTCATGCCCGTTTTGTGCAATGTCCCCCTCTTTTGTTTTATTTTATTTTAATTTATCTGCAATAAAATTAAGGAGTGCAAGATCCAAAAATTTAAAAAAACAAAAAATAAAAACTCATCTATCTTTATATTATACAAGAAAAAGGAAAATTTTAACTCACAAGTTTTGTGGGAGTTTCAATATATCAATTTTAATTTCCTATTTTTTTGTTTAAAAAAAAAAAAACTCAACACTTATTAACTTCTCCTAAACTTTTTTGACTTCTCCCATACACACCTTTTTTAACTTCTTCCATACCTATTTAATTATTTTGGAAATAATAATTATACCCCATTTTCAATTTCTCCCATACCTATCTAATTATTTTGAAAATAATTATCCCTTAATTTTATGGATTTCAAATAGAAAGATAACAAAAATATTTCATAATCTCTCCATTCTAATTTATCTCATCAATTTCCAAAAGAAAATATTAAAACTTGTCTTCTTTTTCTCTCCCTCAAAAAAACAGATAATATTTTTCATAAAATTATGGGTATTTATATATGTCTTATATATTATATTATAACTTAACCAAACAAAATAAAAAAAAAAATCAGATATACAAACAGATAAAATTAATAAATATGATTTTTATTTATTCAGTTAAAATATTTCTTTTACATCTCAATATCCAATTTTAAATTTTAAAATTCTTTAAAGTCTATCTAAACAAATCTAATTTGAAAATATCTCAAACTATCGTACTTTAAATTAATAAAACTCATATATCTATCACATATCTAACTCACATCATAATTTAACTAAATAATAATAATTAAAAACAAATAACAACCATAGATAAATTAAATTAAAAAAAAAATAGAAACCATCAACTTCATCTTAAATAAATTGAAAAAAAAAATAGAAACCACACAAAAATAAAGAAAATAAGAATTTAGATATAGATCTCAAAAAGATATGACAATATCTAAATTTGAATTATGATTTAATAATATAATTATCTATTTTTTTGATGTATATCTGTCAAAATTTTAAATCACTTAATGGGACAAATGAATTAATTTTCAAGTCTTATTTAAAAAATAATCTGATTAGTCATTCCAACTCCAAGACTTCGCGGGCACGGGAAAAGAAGCTGACGAATTAGGTGGGGCAAGGTCTAAGTTGTTGGGGTTATTGTCCTACCACTCCATAAATTTATTTGTTTTTTAATTTTATTTTTTTTTCTGTGTGATTCTCTTCCTCCGTTATTGGTTTGGTTTTGGTTTCGGTTTAGTAAGATTTATATGTTTGTTTATAGGTTTACATGGTTGAGAGGGAGATTAATGATATAGAGTTAAACCGGACAGATTTGGACCGGACAGAGTTATGCCGGACGGATTTGGACCGGACAGAGTTATGCCGGACAGATTTGGGTCTGGCAAGTGCTGGGCCGAGGATGTGTGGCCCAGTTTGGAAAGAAGTTGCTCGGTTAAGGCGACGCTTGTTTGGACCGAGCTACATGTTTGACGGAGGCGAAGCTAGTCAAGTTAAGTGACCGGCGCCCGGAAAGGCGTGGTCAGCCGAGGTACCTGTTCGCTCAGCTTTGTCGAGATGTTGCCTAGCCCGGTCCTTATTAAGCTTAGCTAGTGGAGTGCTTGGATATGAAGCACAGCACGACGGTTGGCGGACAAGATGGTGTAGCTCGGCTGCCGAGCTCCCAATAGAGTGAGCGGGCAGTTGAGATTAGGTGATGCTCAGCAGGATTTGTGCTGACAGATGGGATAGCAGAGCCACGTGTCGAGGGACCATTGGAAGCAGGTTTGGGACGCAGAAGGGTATATAAGCATGTCTGCGCCCCCCATACTAGGGGACGAACACTTTGTAAGGAACTCCTACACTCAAACACTCCCTCTCTCTCTCTCCTCTCCCTAAGGTGTGTACTAATTAGATCGTCGGAGGGGTTTTTCGGCCACACACCGCCGGGTAGCTCACCCACATTGTGCTTTCAGGTGATCAGACAGAAACGGAGCTTGGAAGAAAGGAGTACGGGCTTGCTGAAATATTTACTCCCCGCACAATTGGCGCCGTCTGTGGGAAACTTGCAGATAAAACCTTGTCTTCCACGCTCGTCCGACCGCCGACCATGGCGAACAACGAAGAGTTTCCGTTGTCTGCCATTGACGGAGCAACCCCGGAGTTTACGCGAAGGAGAGAAGGACCTCCTGCCATCCATCCAATGGCGGGCTTGGAGACACCCACCGGAGGATAGTCAGGAGACGCGTGGGATAAGCGCGGGAGAAGTTATGGTCATTCACGAAGTCCGGACGGTCATCGGCGGCGGAGAGAATCACATGCCCGGCGTCTGGAACACAAGTTGAGAGACCAAGACGCTGTCATCCGGCGAATGGCGGCGGAGATGAAGGAGCTCAAACGGCATGTCAAAGGGAAGGGTGTAGCTGGAGTGGGTGACCACAGTGAGCGCACCCCATCCCGCCGTTCAGGCGGTCAGAGTCAGCGACGCACTCCATCCATTTCTATTACCAGAAGTTATCAGGTTGGTGATTCCGACGTGCATGCAGAGAAGTCTAGCGCGCAAGATAGCACTTACCAGCCCTCACGTCCGGCGACGACGTTGAGGTACTCTTATTCCGCTTGATCAGAAGATTTGCGGGCAGTCTTTAAGGAACGGGCTCGCCGGCGGGAGGCACGGAGGATACCGGCTTTCCAGCGGTTATCTTACGGGGTTCATGCCAGCGAGGAGGTCGGAATGCCTCCACCCCGCCTAGCGGTGCCACTCTTTGTAGATACGAACCTGGCCAGGTTGAGCGCCACCCCTTTTTCCCTGGAGATAGAAACAACACCGCTTCCGGCAGGCTTCCACCAGCCTAAGTTCACACTCTACGACGGGAAAACTAATCCCTACATACACGTAAGCCACTTCCGACAGGTTATGGCCGGACATCGGCGAAATGACGGGCTTATGTGCCTTATCTTCCCGTCAAGTTTAGGCGA